AATGGCCTGCATGTCTATGAAAAGAACATTGTTCTATTACCATATTTCACCTAAGAACCCTATGCGTCAGCTCAAATATATATACCTGTTGCTCCATACTCGATTATTGGTCAGCCTCACTGACAACATGATATTGCTTCGTTACATTAAAAAATCTTCACTAGCCATTTGAACAAACACTTTCACACTTCCGAAGGAGTTAAGTTCCGCTTTTCTCCCCCTACAGCAAAATTTCACAACTACAACGAAGCTGTTGAATATGTCGTTTGAGGCAGTCCTCCAGACCAGTTTCATTCTGTCAAGTAATTTTGCTGAACGTTAGTCTTAAAAATTAAACCAATTATGTGGGACCTAGAAAGCATTGTTAACCGCAAAATCTAGAGGCAAGTGCGACCCAACTCAGAAAATCATGGCGTCCTATCGCACGTGATATAAGCCAGATAATGCGTGTTTATTGCACAGGATTGCGGAAATTCATGTTCATAAAAGGTAAAAGGAAGAAGGTGCCAGTTTAGAAAACTTTCACGAGCCTAATCTTCTTACGCCTTAACCTAGGGTTATCCACATGCCAAAACTTACAAACCTGACAAGGAATGGCCTGTGTAGATTATCGATGTTAACACTTTCCTCCAACCAGTGGTAGTTTTCAGTGCAAACTTATCATAAACATTTCCATCACTCATTTGCATTTAATTGATATACAAGGTAACAGCTTCTCCGGCATTTTTTGTTGAACTTCCGAGTTATACTGACTGCGCAATGATAAATAGTGCAATGAATCAGGACAGGAATCCACAGCTTGTTCCTAGTAGGACTGTATGATGTGTCGGTATTTCACAGATAGCGAATTTCAGCAGTTGCCCTGAGACCAAGCACAAATTATTTTCCTAATTGGACAAATCATGGAACATAGAAACTTGTTATACGCCCGGACAACAGTTCTGCCGTCATCACTTGGAAGTACTGTTTATAGATACCAATCCTTTTGTGCCATACTGAAGCCTTCAACCATGTCCTTACGTTCGGTTTCGCTAATTGTCATTATGTGCTATCGCCGCGAATTCGTGCACTTTATCAACCTAATCTCGAAGAGTTGTGTACCGTTCAATGAGATTCTCTTAAGAAATGCTTAAAAGAAATCTGACCAAAAGTGGAAGAAATAAAATGCTTGAAACCTTAAATAGCTGTAATCCGACTCAACCATAAACAAACTTCCCAATGAATCCAGTAAGATATGTGTACCACCATCCAATATACCACTGAATCAGCTGCAGCTAAAAGCCATATCTCTCGACTGAAATCTTGCTTTATTCAGGCAGATTGTGGGTTTGTTCACCTAGAAACCCAATTAGGTAATCAAACCCAAAAACTAGCTGAATTTAAACCCACGTGTTCTCTCGCCTGGGACCCTTCCAAAACAACATTGTTGCACATCTCTCAACAGTACCTATGTTATGAGAACAGGTCTTCAAACATCCTGATCAAGAAAGACTCAGAGGGAATCAAGGAAATAAAACCGAATCCTGATCTCATTCTTTCTAGACTATATAAAGTATCGGGATGGATGTTAATGGACAGATTCGAACGTGTCGCAAAACTTTGCGTTATTTTACCTGACTCCATTAAGTTAATACGCGAGACAGTCTAGAAAAACCGGACCGCAGAATGTGAGACAAAAATTACAAAAGTCTTGAAGAAACCAAAACAGACGCACGTGCTAAATACACAACTTTATCGACCAACTCTTGCTAACTCTTAACCCATTAGTGTAGCAACTACAATTCCACTTACCTTCTATAAATGATACATCGGCTTCTGCTTTCCAGTTATTAGCGAACTAGATTGTCGAAGTAATAGAATCAGTACATAAGGAACTATCCGCACACTCTCGGACGGGTGCGTTTGAATTTGTTGAAAAATGTAAGGACGTGAAGGTAGACGGAAAGTGATGCTCTCCTTTAATGCGTTATCCCTTTTCCCAAACCGAAAATAGCAAATAAATACTGTTATTTCATGTCCAAAACAAAAGAAACTAATCTTACCATCCATCTTCAACAGGTAGTTCGTGTTGGATGGAATCTATTATCGGCAGATTGACAGAGTTACTGTTGGTTCACTCTTGAAAACTCTCCCCGTTGACTTCTTCTTTGCAAACCTTGAATGTGGTCCTATCCAAGCTGTTATTGCTTTGCTTGGTTTCTACTTTATGTACGTGTGATTCGAGCGCTGGTATCGTTGGTTTAAACAGCCAACTCAGCGGTGCATACCCACTAGTGAATTTCAGCAATGAAATCGAAAACGAAAGGAATCTACCGTTCTCGAACCTACTTCTAATGAGAGGGGAAGGCGGCTCTCTTGAGAGAACTGTCTTCTGAAAGAATTCATGTGTGGAACAATATAGGCATTTTCTGAGTTTCGTGCCTCTGAAATATAACCTCAACTTATTTTGCTGCAGGTATTACCAAGACTCTAAAGTCTCCAGCTAGGAGACGCCAGCAGGCGAAAAAGAACGCATATTTAAAATGCTATTATCAAACAGTTATGCAAACTCCTTTACCGGAATACACACTGTGCTTTGTGAGCGCAGTGAGTCCGTCATCACAGTTCCACAGAAGGATGTGTTGCTCAGAGATTCATTGAAGTGAGACATCGCTTTCGATCTACTGAATTAAGATAGCCGAGGCGATAGTGATCAAGTTAATGAAATTGGAGCTTTGCGAGCAGAATATGCTACTGTTATCTCGCACGCTGCCGTGACTGTAATGAGGATCCATCATTAATGGAACAATGGAACAATAGTTTATTACGGGTAAAAAAGCGTTGCTTAACAAGTCCCGTAGGATGGAAATTAGTGTGAAAATCAATTGCGTGATAAAGTGAAAAGCGTTGTGGTGGACTCACCATAGACTTTTGTAGAATAGCGGATATGTTCGCGTATTAAACATATAAATCCATAAATCCATTGGTTAGGCGTTTGGCGAGACACCGTTTGATTGCGTTTTGTAGCCCCTGGCTAACAAGTCATAAAATGAAATGTAAGTGAGACAATGCATCGTCAACACGTTTCTTAAATTTCTCCAGATTGGGAGCAGAGACGACATAATTAGGGAGGGCGTTCCAAGGCTGGCACACGCGGAGAGAAAAGAAATTTCTACGGCATTCAAGCCGGCTATACTGAATTGTCAGTTTCAGAGGGTGACCTCTTAGTTTAGTGTTGTGGTTCAATTCCAGCAGCGGACGACAAATGTGGTTTGGGTTCTTCAGAATCTGGTAAACCATTATGAGATCCCCCCGCAAAAGCCGATATCGACTGCTGTAGATTCTTAGAGATTTCAATCTAAGCTGATAGGGCAGATGAAAGAGGCCCCTGACGTTCTTGGTTGCCCTTCGTTGAGGAGTCTCGAGAGCAACGAGATCCTGTTTCTGCCACGGCTGCCACACCTGAATAGCATATTCCACGTGAGGTCGCACGTAGGCGTTAAGCATTTGGGGAAAGATTGAGGGTTCAAACCGACCGAAGGCTCTGCGAAGAAGGCCGAGGTGTTGATTTCCCGTTTTCGTCGCCTTCTCTGCTTGTTTTGAACACCCGAGATCTTCCTGCACCAATACACCAAGGTCACGCTCCCGAGAAACCTTCGCCAAGGTGTGGTCTCCAATCTTGTAAGCGCTTACCAGATGGTGACGCAGATGCATCACTTTGCACTTAGCTATGTTCAATTGAAGCTTGTTCCTCCTTGACCATTCGTAAATGCAATCTAGGTCATGTTGGAGCAGATCCTGATCTGTCTTGTTACTAATCGCCCGCCATATCTTGACATCATCGGCGAAAAGCAGGAAATTTGAGGAGATGACCCTTGCCAGGTCGTTGATAAACACCAGGAATAAACGCGGTCCCAGCACTGAGCCTTGTGGGACACCACATTGCACCTCAATTGGGTTAGAAAGTGATCCCCTAACACGTACTTGAAGCATTCGTTGGTAAAGGAAGTTGCCAATCCAACCAAGTACAGGATCTCCGATTCCGTAACTTTGTAGTCTTTGAAGTAGGATGCGGTGATCAAGGCGGTGGAAAGCTTTGGAGAAGTCCAGATAGATGGCATCGATTAATGATAACCGAGGGTGGCTTCACTTCTCGACTGACCTAATTTTTGTGTGGACTGTTCAGCGAGCTCTGTCGAGTGGGGTCATAAGAGGTCAGCTCCAATTTTGTTCTCCGAACTGGAAATTTGTTTGCAAATGTTTCGCCATCATGCCAAGTGGCATCGTCAGTGCAGAGCGTAATCACGACACCTGGGCCCACCAATTGAGCCGATCGATTTACTTTCCGTTCGAACACATGGAGCTTGCTCAGGCTCTCCACCACTGTCCCTTCAGCTTTTATTAGCTTGTGCTTATCACAGTAACCCACGTAAACGTAGTTGACTGATGTGATTTGTGGAAAGAGATCTCTTTGCAACTAAGTTTTCCCACATTCCAATGATTTTTTTCTACTGTAGTTATGTCTGTCATATAAACGAACTCAAGCTTCCAAATAATTAATGCAAGGATTCGTTCAGATTGGTGAATCAGAATTAGAATTAGTGACCTACCTTTTAAAGTGCAGTACAGCCACCTCTTTATCCTGACCAGTTCACTAAGTTGACCACTTTGGTCCCGTCCCTTTAGTGGTCAACTTCCGGAAGTTTCAATCAATGTGCTTGGTGATCAGGCAGTTGTTGACAAGGGTGAAGGATGAAGTAATATTTCTATTGCGACAATTTCAATTAAAAAATCCAATGAACTTAGTCAACGTTAAATTAACCAAGCAGTTAAGATATATTTATTCCTCAGCTCGGGAGGCATTAGCGAAGTGAATTGAGCCAAAATCATACATAGTGTCAGAGGAGCGCTGTAACAAACTTGAAAATAACTGCATTTCGCATCCAATACATATGACTAAATTGTTATCATTTGCACCTCTAAGCATTATCCATGCTCTTATGCTTATCTCATCTACTCAGCTTGTTTCAGTCCGCCGTATGTGCCCAACACACAAATACTTATGGAACACTCAGATAATCCCCTCCAGGCAACGTTATCAACTGGTCGACATGATTATCGTTCGGGTGAATCAATTCAAATCGCTTGTATCCCTGGTTACGAGGATCTCAAGCGACATTCGGTGAAAGCAACTTGTGTTGGTTCAACATGGCAGCTTGACGAGTTGAAGTGTGAACGTAAGGAGTTTTTATCATTCTATGCTCTCCATATTGCCCACCGAACCCCATAAAGGACCTGTATATCCGATTGGTGGTCCATACTATCCGTCACCTTACAAAAGATGTCCATGCCTTCCAGTTAGTATCATATGCCTGCCATATCAGTTAACTGTCAATGAATGCCCCTGCTTTACAAGAATGTAAATAAATAGACTGTTTTACCAACCGTCTCAGTTTAGCTATACTAAATTCAAGTGTCCATTGACCCATGACATATTACGCATGAGAATTAGACTAAAGTGACCTAACTTGAAGTTTTGGTCACTTGGTAAGTTAATAATGGAATCGGAGACAAGCTGCAAACTAATTCTGGGCAAACTTTCTTGAACGATATCTGGTAGAAGTTGGTGAATGTGGGTATTGACAATAAAATCGTGGTACGCCAACAATACCAGGCAAATATTATCCGTCATACGAGAAGAATCGGCTAAATTATCTAATGTATTAGGACAGAGGAACAGTCAAACAGTCATAGTGCTTCAGATCATCTGAACTTATGGCTAGAAAACAGACTAACCAGTTGAATCTGCCACACCCAATCAGCATTGATGCTAAATTTTGCTTTGACACAGTGCCTGTTTTCAACCGGATCATAAATGTTTCATCTGAAACCGTGCTATAGAAATAAGTGAGACTTTTCTTCCGTCTAAGACGCTGTATTAGCTGCTGCCTTGATACAATTAAACACATTGTTATTACTACTCAAAATTATAATTACTTACATTAGTTCAGTGATTCCGTCTGAGCTAACAAGTTTCCTTGAGGAAAGCTTTTTGACTGTCAAAGATAGCGCTTGTTTCTCAAACACCCGTAGCACATTTTAAGGTATTATTACCCGGAGGCGTCGCAGATTTTTATTCTAACCTCTTGAGGAAAAATGATTGCGGATTATGCTCTGCTCCTACTAATACAACACGAGCTGAAACTGTCACCCGAGCTTAAGACTTTATCGTATATCTACTAACCTGTTTTATGCTGGTCTTGGTGCTGTACAGTGGTTGATCATTGGAGCTGGTAATCGTTACTCTAGCAACCTGAAATACAGTACCTCAATTTGCGAAGAGCAATTGTCACACCATCAACTTAATTTCATAGTTTGCATAGCAAGCTTTTGAGGCACCTATCCAATGTGATTAACCTGTATGTACCTATCAATTAGACGGTACCAAGCAGCAACGACAGCATGTAATGACTACTTTTAAAACAGTAGAAAACTTGAAAACCAAGACAAATAATTCCATTAAACTAGACGAACGCTCTCTTCGTGATGCCAGCAGTGGTTCTTGTATTACTCGTTCCAGCAAGTAGTTCGGCAGCAATGTTCCAGGACATGGTGAGTTTTCGCCTGGAGAGCGTTCTCCATATGCAAAGTCACAAATATCCGTTTATCAACACTGTGACGTGGCGAATGTGACTCGCCAAAAACTAAACTCATTGCTCCGTGAACATCTGGATAAGTACATCCAATTCACGGGCATCAATCGTCTATTCTTACATAAGCGACGCTGTCAAACAGTCCCAAAGCCAACAGCACACTTACAAACACAAGCTACAAAACTACGACTATGCACCGTTACACACACATCTATGCACACATTTACTGTTATGACAAGCATGTTGTATTCTTGTACATTTTTGTGCACACTTCCTTATCATAACATGATCATACCTGTAAAGTCGTGTCTCGCGTTTCAGAGAATAAAAAGTTTCTTTTATTTATTTGATGAAGAAATATAATGTTCATTCAGTTATTGCGTCTCATTCGAGACAGCAAGAACAAATTGGATTGTCCGCGGAAGTGGATAAAGGTTATCGGCCAGAACGACCGCAGCAAAAGCTTGCATGCTTTCTTACACACAGTAGTCAGACAGATGTAGCAGGCAAGCAGCTCGATCTTGCAACTTGGTGCTTCCGGTTTACCACTGCCTGTGCGCTGACACGCAGTTACCAGTCACCAGTTCACTGGTTTAGTTTTGGTCTCAGTGATCGAAATAATGGAGAAGCGTTTCGCAGGATGTTTTGCCCAGATTGAGGATGTGTGCAATCCATCCACGCAAAAAGTGATTTACACGAACCATGGATGACTGTTGCAATTTCTTGACAAATAAATAATGGACCACTTGCGTGTTTCGGACCAATATCCCACTGTACACAATTAAGGCAAATAAAGGCGTGAAGTGCAACGACCTGGCTTCGAGCAAACGGATATTTACAATGCTTCCCTATTTGACCAGGTGCAAGGTAAAGAGAAATTCTTTAAGTCAAGTTGATCTGAGTAATTCTAAAGGTATTTATGCACAAGCAGATTTTGAAAAATGAAAGCGCATTGATTCACAAATTTTCATAACCACTACAAAGATGTATTTGTTAGTGGTTTTTATGAGGCCAGGTCAAGTCCGTATTTCCTGTGGTCGTATCAGTCGAACTTAATAATATATTCCTTACTTCAATAATAGGTGCAGTTATGTGCTCCGTTAGGGTGATTGGTCGTAAGCATCATGACAAAAGCCGTCAGCAAAATTAAGAATACCCTTCGCCTTTGCATGTTTTGCCCAACTACAGCGGCTGTTTGGATTTGCATAATCTCGCTGTGATTACAGGGGGATTCAGCGCATTGCATGCAACATGCACACGCTGCTTTTAAAAAACAAGAAGTTTCTTTGTGACGCCCAAATTACGTTCTTTCAAGGAATGTCAACTTCAATAATTTTGGTGGGGCATTTTAAGCTGCTGCTTGCCTTTGGCCCATGCCACCATGAAATACCGGCAACGGGTTTGAGATATGTTCCTGCGCGGACGTGTGCATCGATTTAAAATTTGTATGTGTAGGTTTGTTGATAAAACAAAGCTTTTCAGATCATTCTCAGCGGAATGGCTGACTTCAGTGAAGCGTTTAGATATAACATTTGCCACATTGCATTTACTAAAGTCAGTTTGCTATAACATTAATATGAGAAGTACGGTGACATCGTCTCTTTCATCTGAGACTGCTATGTCACTCGCAGCATTATGTCGAATAAAGGACTAATATGTCGTTTGGTTATCTAAAGGCCATGTAGTTTCGCTTTGACATTTTTATGAAGCGCTTAAACCCTTCCAACTCAGCGCAGGGTCTTTTGGAAACTAGTAGGACTTACCCACTAGGACTTACCCAATAGTACTTCTCTTAAATAAATTCTACCAAGTAAACCACCTCCTGGTACTCACCTGCTAATTTGGCTGAAAGGAATAATTGAGTTATTAAAAACTGCGAATAAAATGGTCGTCAGGCAAACTGCTTTCAGCCCTCACTCTTTGCCTTGGTACACATTGTAAAGTATCCTAAATTGTAAGCAGAATTCTTTTTCCAGCTTAGTTCCAAAGATGATGTTTTATGTATCGTTAATATACCTATTCAAACTATTAATTTTTTATAATGGAAACTACTAACACCGATTTCACGCACCGATTTTACTTAGGAAAAATTAACTACACACGAGTGATTGAAATATAACACAGAACTTTTACGCAGCGGCTAAAGACACTAGTGGATAATTATTTACTGTAAACAGGAGAAGGCATATTCCAAATGGTATATACATTTGCGGCCACACAAAGCGCGTATATCTTACCAAAATAGTAAATTATGGCTAAGAATGTTGCTCAAAACAGCTACATTTAAGGAATATTGATAGACGAACTTCGGCACTGAGGATATTATAACTGTATCTAGCAGTTAAAGTAGTGGTAGTAGAATACTGCTGCAATCTAGAGACATGGAAAGTTTTATATTATATGGTAGACATGTAGACATACGGGCTGAGATGAAGTAGACATACAGTCTGGCTGAAGATATTTGTTAAAAGTGCCAGGCAAGATCTTCATTTTCTGCGGTTCTTCAAATATCATAATGCAAAGAAAATTTTGGACATGATGTGCTGATGGCAGTAGCGCAGAATACCGGCAAAATACTTTGTACACAGCAGTTGCGATCAATACAATGTCCCGCACTTGTATTCCTTGAGCGGTCTTTAGTTAAAGCTCACTTTTTAAGTGGGTTTAGTGATTCAATTTAGCAGCAAAGCACGGTGAAAATACGTGTGTTTGTTTGGTATATCTACTCCACTGCAATCACCCAACACCTAACTGGTCACAGAATGGATACATTCATTCGCTATCCAGAGCACCCCTCCAATACGTGTAACGTGATTTCCAACCTGCAAACAACCAGGTATTCTTGCTTTTTCAGTTTATTGTAAGTGAAATGCTTTTGAACATGTCTTAATTTTGCCTCGTGTGTACTTTTGAAAAGCTATCGCAGTCGGTTGGATGGCCAGTGACCGTGGTTAAAGTGTATATACTCTGCACAGATGCACAAAACGTTTCTGCATGAAAGTTGTATGCTTTTATTCTCATAAAATGAACATTTTATATAAACGTATTAGGTTAACCGATACATTACTTGCAATCACCCCGCGGTGCCTGCAGGCAATCGATTATAGTTATCCGTAGAGGTTCGGACAAATTCTTATCACCAGACCATTAAAAGTGCGGAGTAAGAAAAAGCGCATTGAGGAAATGTTGCTTGTGTTACAGTGGTTTTGCTTTGGTCTTCCGAAATTTGGATTCCTCTCCTCGGATCTCACACAACTTGTTCTTGTATTCAGGCTTATTCACAATTACAACCTCTGTGCCTTCTTTTGGTCTTAACACTAACACTTCTTTTGCCTGCAGACCATGTAGGGCCTTGATGTGACTATACAACTGGTTTGGTTCATTGGGGCCACCGTGTAATGGTTTGCAATGTCAGCGAGCTTAATCTTGAGCCAGTTGTGCTGTTCTCTATTCGTCGAGGTCAGTTTGGATAGTTGCTCTAGTAAGTTTTCAAACTGAGTCTCATTGTGTATTCCGTCGACATTCTTTGGGGAAAGCTTCAAATTCAGGCCAAATGACAAATCTTCCATTACTTTCTTGTTCAAAGATACGGAAGACAGGTTGTATATATGCTACTGTAGATCGTCAGAAAATATGGGATGCTAATTTGCATTTTCAAGAGATTTACGTAGGGCCTTGGTCAGGTTCCTCTTCGTTCTGTCAACAAAAGTTTTGCAAAAATCCGTGAGTTTGACGCAACAAGCCAGTAACAACTTTTCAGTGATCGCCATACGGCATTATTACGTTTTCATTTTGTACACCAAAGTTCCGTTTGCCTCCTCCAAATAGGAGTTGGCGAGCTGCTTCAGATTTGGGATGACAGGTATTAGTGGATTCCGGTGTAACAACTTGCAAAACTGTCGTATGTATTTAGCATTGCGTTTGCAATCAGATAGAAAACGAATACGAATTATCCTCGCAGCAATCTTGCATTTCAATTTTACGAACCTGTCGAGGATTCTAATAGTCACGTTCAGGGGGTCTTGGTCTAGGAAATTTAAAGTACCAAGTTCCCCGTCTCAGTCTAAATAAGACAATGAAAAGAATGTTATTGCGAGATGGAAGCATTTCGTGTTATCTGATCACCCGCAAACTATCGACGTAACGCGAAAGCACATGACAGAAATAATTGATTTTAACCACCAAATCGATGCCCACCAACGTAATCAGCTCATGTATTGCGAACTTGTCTACCACACACTAGCGTTTCGTTTTTATTTACTAGCAATAGCCGAATCGATCAATATCCGCCTCCAGACCCGAGACTAAAATCACGAAAAGGACTAACCCTGATTCTCTAACCTGACCCCAAATCACAGTGATCAATTTTGCAGCTCATACCATTGGCATGTCCTTGACTTTTACTGAACCAACCACGTGACCTTATCATTTAAATGACCGACTTTCGAACCTTACCTTTATCTTATGTTTCAACGGTTTTAATTCCTATCACCTGCGCTGTGCAAGCCTGACGTGATCCACAGATAAACACCTTGTTTTGTAGTTCGTGATTTGTAATCAGTTAATTGTCGGAATGGATATTCTTGTGAAGAATCACTACAGAAGAAACGGACTGCGGAAACGTCTACGTGGCTTCTCAAAAGCACACTCGCAATACTCTGAAATAGGCTATACTGCTTGAGATTGGGACGACCATCCACGCTAATTTGTAGGCCCTTACTTAGGAATGTAGTTTTCCCTGCATTATTACTATTATATTCCAAATATAATATGTAGGGGAGAACCTTTGCAATTTGATGGCGATAAGTCATTTTCTCCTCCTGGTCTTTTACTCTTTGTGGTGCTCGTAGAAATACGCATTTTTTGTTGGTCATGTGAGTGGGTACATCAAGTGTCTGCTCCTTGTTTAATTTTTATCACTAATTTGCTCACTTTTCTTAGAGCGGTTTAAAAAGACCTCGAATTTAGACTTATGCGCGTGTTTTGTTTCTCGGAACTAATTCGCCATATGTTTCTTCCAATGAGGAGTTGCAGAAAACGTTAGCAAGTGATAGAATTTTATGCGAAACGCCGGACAATTGGCCAAATGCTGCATTATATTAAGGTATTTTCTGCTTCTAAGGAGAGCATACAGATTTTAGCAAAATGCATTAACTGCAATTCCCAAAATGTTTGCTGCGTTCGCTTTTGTTTGCCCTAGTTTTCGACCAGTATACCTGAATCAGACAACATTACGCAACAGGCCACGTAGGAAACAGGGTAATTGAATTCAGAACTGACAAGTGATTTCTTTCAGCATGAAGTTCATTTTGTACTAATGCCAAGAGTGAGAGAAGGATATTGCTTACTGCATGTTAGCAACTGTGCTAATTATAATGATAGAAAAGTGATTACGATTAACATGGGAAACTTGCATTGACGGATGACTCAGTCAACAAGCAGTCAGTTTATAGCAACAAACTTCCCAAGGGTAGTAAGGTTGAAGCAAAGTTCGTGGATTTGGTACTTGAAACTGGTGCAGCGCCACACATATGCCAGTCAATACGCATAACACCACACTCAACCCCGTCTTGTCTCGACCTGATGTTAACAATCTACGAACAACGGTTGCTTGACTTTCGGATCCTAGAGTCCCTGGCTACAAGCGAGTACTCAGTGCTCATAGCTGACAAGGAATTATCTTTGACGTATACAAGTCCGTTGGAACCAGCTTACAACTACTGGAACACAGGCTTCTACGGTCTAGCTGAAGCGACAAGCAAACTGCCTTGGTCTCTGTCACAGGCTGCATCTGTCGCAGACTGTTACACATTAGAAAAGAGAGCTTGATGTTATTGTGTTCTTAATTTGTGCTCTTGAAGTGTCGGTAGGTTAGACCGATTAAGCTTCAATGGTTTGATAAGTAATAAGGAAATCTGCCTCGGAGGCAACGCAGGGACTGGGGGACAAATTCCTCCTCTCTGGCACTGCTAATGATTACAAAGGATATACAAGAGCGGAACTTGCGTAATAGTGTGAACAAGAATTATGTGCTGACATTTCAATGAGCAGCTCGCGATTACCGCAAAGACCACTCCAAAAGGAATGTTTACTTACCTGAACTGACGTCTGAAGCCTTCAGGTAATGTGTCAGTGCTGGATGGCACGAAAATAAACGCCCCAACCACCATCACTGTGCGTGCCTCTGAGTTGGCAGCGCCCCTCGTTTCTGTATTTGCAAATAAGCAGGTGCCTGTTCCGAGTTCCATGTGGATCGCTTTTACCGAACTAGACAGTTTGTATTGCGACGTTGAATACGTGTGTCAACTACACGCAAGCATTGACGGCAGAAAACCAGGCGGAACTGATGGGCTCGACCCACTGATTCTCAAGTCAATTTCGGCCATGTCCCCTGTTATGAATGAAATTTTCAACAGGTAGTTGACCGAAGGTTCTTTGCCGACGACTGCGGTGTACTCCAGCAAGACCTCAACTGCCTATCCACATGGTCTGCAGAACTTCATCTCCCAGAAAATACAGGCAATTCTGTATGTGTATGAGCCTGGTAAGTGGTGATGACTGCTGAACCCACACATTTGACGGCCAACCGCTATATCCCAAACCCTCCGTGAAGGACCTAGATGTGCTCTCGCGCTGGGATTTAAAGTCCGTGGACAACAAGAACAGGCTATAGCGTAAAGGACTGCATATGCTTTGGGCGTTCAAACCTAGCTTCTGCTCATGGCCTTAAGAGGTTGACATTCGCCGCTTCACTTCCATCATTAGACTAATGCTAGAGTACGGTTCGCCCGCCTATTTTCCGAGTCCCCGACTCGAGGCACAAAAGATCGGACGGGTCCAACACGTTGCGACCAGGCTCCTCCCGAGTTTACGTGGTTCATCGTAGGAGGACCAGTGCGAGAGACTAATAATCTACACCTTGTCTTACCGTCGAGTGAGAGTTGACCTCATTATGACCTACCGTATTCTACCTCATGATGGCTTCTCTCTACTGAGGCCATTGCTGCGTTTACGAGGGCCATGCAACACATGTGGACACAGATCCAAAATAGTGGTGCCAGCTGTGAAGCGAGTTCCCCACCCACTGATTCCAACGGAGAGTGGTAAACAAGTGGAATAGTTTGCCTAAACATTTCATGGGGGCTACATCTGTGAAGTAGTTCAAAACGTTCTTGGCTTTATATTTTACCATTATTCGATTCAGAGAATGACTGCACGCTTAGGATGACATCACACATTTGTGAGTGCTAAGGTACCGTAAGGCTGATATTTTAAATGTTACACGAGCACGATAACCATAGTCCCGACTGACGATTTTTATAGCGTTTTACACCATTTTTCCAAGTGTTACAGAATACATTTATACTTGCTCCACAATATTCAGTATTCAGTATTCAGAACAACTAACGTAAGCATTTTTTGAGATTAGCCACTTTCAAACGGTTTCCACGCATTTAGATTTATAAGCATTGCATTAGAACGATGTCGTGTCATAAATGGTTTAGATTTCGCAGCCATTCCCCTTATGCGAACAAAATTAGTGAAAGTTTGAAAAATTTCATGAACTACCTTCTATTTTATCCATCTGTTATTTTTCCCAGCATCCTGCAGGACCCGGCCACCAGCAGCAAGAGGTGCTCGCGTTCGATTTTACAGTCTCCAACACAATAGTAGAGCCCGCTATGAATGTTTCGCTGGTCGGCAGCTGCGAGTGGAAAAAGCTTCGAGAATGTCTGCTTTAATGACCCCACCTGATACTGTCCGGGATCCACTGGGAACGGTACGATGTTTGCATGGTCATTGGATGGGAACTCTAGTCTACTGTGAACCAAGTGAGCTAGACATACAAAATCTGTACGCCTGTATTCTATTAGGGAATTTGTGCGAGAATTTTACCACCCTTAGATTATTAGACTTTTGGGGACTCATTAATTTGTGTTGTGCTGAAATATATGTCCCATCATTTACAGTTGTAAACATTTTGATTTCTAAGTTTAAATCCTGCAAGGAAGACATGAATAATGTGGCTCATTTAGTGCGACACTCGTCGCTGCATATCCTGACAATGTGTAATGTGAATTTCAAATGTCTAAAGTAAGGACAAGTACGTTTTCCAGAAAATACCTAAGTTCTGAGTTTTCATTCATCACATGTTCGTCTCATTTTTCCTTGGTCAACTTCGCTTAACTACTACTTTGAACATTACAGTAACATCGATATTTCATCCCTTTGTGTGTAAGATGTGCGAATTTTCCTAGTTCTAGTGTCCCATCCTGGTCTACGAAGGCCCCAGTCGTTTACTTTTATCTCACTAACTTTGCCACGTTTCTTCAGCTACAACACTACGTGTTCGCGATCTTCGATATCTGTAATTACAAGCAACAAATCCCTTGGAAGGACCTTGAATAAACGCGCTTCCACTGTCGAGAAATGAAAGAACAAGACCACACTAAAGGCGGTTAACAGCGCCGTAAGTGTCTAAACGAGATCACTAGTAGGATCATGCACAGATTAAATCACAAGTGATAAAAGGTTTCAACGATGGCAAGGGAGGTGGATGCATAAATTATTAAATGGAGAACAGAGCAACAAAATGTCAAAAGTGATAAGCGACAGAAGATTCTAAAAAGCAGGAGCAGAGAATAATGGCTGAACGTTTACAGACGGAATGGGGTCATGGAAGGCTACTAGCATAAAGTACCCTAGTAAAAGGGTTGTAAACGCCGAGTAGGACCGGATTTCGAATTGCAATAGTTTCAATGAGAGTAGTTGGGTAGAAGCAATTGCCGGCGTTTACGTCTGGAGGGCGCATGTGGTTAAAATGCAGCGCTCACAGGTGAGGACGCATCACGGTTTTCTTTGAATATTAATTGCTGATTTGCAGGGAAGAATATATTCCATTAGTAGGCTGTCATATAATTGATTGCTCACGACGATCCGTATTAAGGATAGCATTTTTCGTGTGCCATTAGTTGTGGCCCCAGTAAACAGTTCAAGCAGCTATAATGATTTTTTGAAACAGTTAGCGAACAGGCTCTTGTTATCAGTGTTTCTTCATCGGTTTAATGCACCATGAATAAATGACATAGAAACCTAAACAACAGATAAGGGTACATGTTCCGAAGCCTAGAGGGACTAAGTGCCCAAGCTAGATGTTTGACACAACAGTGATTAAGGGTGTGTGTGTGTGTGTGTTTGTTAACCACACAATGTGTCAGCGTTTCAGGAGTCCAGGGTAGGGTGAGTGGCCGGACGCATTTTATATGTGCGCATAGTTTAGGGTCAAGAAGCCGAATTGCGATCGCTTTGACCGCTGCCAGAAGGCTATATTTGACCGCTCGTGTATGCGTCTAGTTACGTGATAGATGGACTGAAACACCACCTGGGCATCGACCTGGTAGTTCGAATGAACCAAACGCACAGTCACGGCGCTCGCCGCTATCCCAATCAATCCGCTATACAGCCAAGCTGGACAGTGCTTCCGAGCTGTCTCAGACAATTGGTTTCAGACCCCTAGCTATGCTTGTATAAGAAATCCGTTCGGCCACTCACTCTACCCTGCTATCCTGTAACGCTGACACATTGTGTGGTTAACACCACACACACACACACACACACACACAAACACACACACACGAACATCCCTTATCTTTGTGGCACCAGTCACCCAGCTTGGGTACTATCTTGCCTTGTAAATATGTAATCTTATCAGTAGTCTTATTAATACTCTTATAAGTCGTTTCAATGTCTTCATTCGTGATGTATTAGCCTGATGAAGAACCACCGAAAGCAAAAGTTGTTCGTTAACTCTTTCTGATATATACGCCTGGGGTATTTTATGATTGATGATATTTACCCGACAGTTGTTGACATTAATGTTTACTACTGTTGTCGAACCAACGGCTTGTTTGGCTCTGAAATACTAACACCGCACGGATGTTACCGATTCTTTTTGGATGCAGTTCATTTGACCCCACTAAGGTGCAACAAGTAAATCAGTTCTGATTATTTTTGATGGGTTTGTCGTAAGCATGACTTCTGGAGGTGGACTCAAAACCTGTGACCAGTTAGATTAACGTTATCCTAAAATGAGATGGAGATGAATAATGCATAACAGACCACGGAGACGCAACAGACATGATTGTCAACGACTGCCGGTTAGCCTCGGTAACGTTAACGAAGTATATGACCAACATGAGGCAAATACTGTTGATAAGTTGTATGTAAGACTACTGTTGTTATAAAGCAATCATAAACGCCCAACTGAGGCTTTCAAGCACTTGGCTGACCTCAGGCCACTGGAATAATCGCGTAAATGTTAACGTACCAGTTGAGCATCCTGGGTGTTCAGCCGCAATATCACAACAAGGTCAAGATGCTGACCGACTTAATGACAGTTACCTATCCCGGCAAAAGAAATGCAGAACATTAGAGTCATTGATGATTGGGAAGTGTTGCTCTCCTTCGGGAGTACTACAAAACTACACCAAACTATGGGAGAAAAGCTGATGCTCAAAGTCAGCACTGTAGTGTCCCCAACACAGCACCTTTGTCCGAGATTCCAACCTACGTCTCATGACAAATTGAAAATATTGTTGGGACTGATATACGACGTAAGTATTTGTAATTAAAAATCTTGGTTCTTATATTCACAAGATGTGTACCACTGCAGTCGTCGCGCAACTAGTCCGTGCTAATCACCCTGTCGTTATCAACAAAGCCTTTTGCCCGATCTACCATGTGAGAGGTGTCCATTCCAAGCTTATCAGGTGCAGAACCCTTGAATTGGCGGAAGCGATCCTGATTCGTCTTAACAGTCCCCATCGTGCGTACATAAACAATTCGTCAAGGCTTTGGCTTTCCCATGGCCAGCTGTCGCACAGGCAGCTGCGGTGTGCACGAACCACACCAGTTATGGGCATTTTCTAACCACTCCATCCATCCTTCGTATTTTAATTATTTAAATATGCTGTAATTGGCCTAATAATGAATCACCGAAAAGGCGCTTGTTTGCTGAATCGTCTTTTTGTGACTGAAACGGAAATTATTTACAACTATACTGTTATAATCAAGTGGCTTGTCCGGTGTAGGCTCCACCATATCCGCGATATGGCGAGTCTTATCCTCCACTACCATTCAAGTTACAAACGTTGCAGATGACAGAGTTGGCTCCGAAAGACACTACGTCCACTAACAATAGCTATGTACAACATAGCATTGTATGTATGTAATCTCAACAGTCTAGTAACTAGACACAGAGCCAAGAAAACCATGGAAATCAGTGTATAAGAGACAGTCATAATCGTCATGGCATGCTAGCTGAAGGTGGGCAACACACTTCAGCTAATATGCCGCGAGAAAATGGGATATTTTGACAAAAATACAGAACAAACATTTTTAGTTTGTTTGTCACACGCCGGTTTTTCTCTTTTTTGTCATTTTCAATTTTTGTAGAATTAAACATGTGAAGCAACACAACACTGTACACAATTCTTCCATTGATTCCGGTTGCGGCAACATAGCATTGAGAAACTGTCGGAGCGGATACATTTTGATGTGCTCTTGAATAGGGGATTTTGGTGTAATTAAGGGAGGTTCATCGCAGCCAGTTTCCAAATCAGACAGTCGTCCACATGCCCGGAAATGCACTAGACTACAGTTTCTGCATGTTGGGCATCGTCAGTAGTGCGCATCCATCAGATCCATCAGGATCCGAACCCGTGACCACCAGCGGCTTGAAACGATATATCGCAGTTAGCTTGTAATCATGACGGTCCGAATCCGTCCCCCGTGGCAAAGTGGCATAAGCTGCTGACTGGCGCTTCAAGCCACTAGTGGTCATGTGTTCGAATCCTGTTGGATCAGACAGATGCACAATAATGACGATGCCCAATAGGCTGAAACTGCAGTCTAGTGCTCTTCCGGACATGTGGACGACTATCTGTTTGGAAACTGGCTGCGATGAACCTCCCATAATTACATCAAAATCCCCTACTAATGAGTTCACCATATCTGTTTGTCATTTTTTTGTTAGGTGGCACAGCAAGTGCTCTAAAATTACACAATAGTAACCAATAATGCCATTCAAGCGCGTGGGCTTTATTTTAAGTACCTGGACTTAATTGCGGTATTTCGGATAAACTATTAGAACAAGTAAGAGTGAACGATTAGTGTATTATATTCTAAGCTAAATTTACCAACTTTGTATATTATCTGGGTACGGAAATACAATTCAGGAGTTTTTAATTGTGATTGAGGTCAAACTCCGGCAACAACCGAAGCAACTCAATTTGATAGCCGCACAAACACTTATCATGTTTGTTAATGACAAATGAAATCAAAAGATCTTGATTACTAACCCAGTGCACCCTGTTATTCCAAACGATGGAGCTTTGAAATGAATTACTTATATTTGATGAGACCTTGCCAGCAATAACTTGATCGCAGTTAGGAAGTTATGTGGGCCTTGTGGTCAACTTATTCAACTAAGAAACTAACAAGTTATCGGTTGCATTTCATTTAGATGGAGTAACTGACTATTATTTGCAACTAGGATACACTGGACGACAGATGAAATAGCACGCAATGTTCTATTTTTATTCCCATAACAAAATACGTCGAAATTCACTCACCTAATTCTCAAAATCAGTCCAAATACTGCGGACTGATTAGAGCTAAGGAAGCCAGTTCTGTGCCATGCTCACTTAAACAGTGAAGTGTTCAGATTGATGTATATACCCGACGAAATTCAGATGTGGTTTTTACTGAGTTATCTGAAAGCCATTTGTTTCGTTTAGAAATTAAGTGGGACCAAAGTAGTAAAGTGTTGTGCGACTCAGACTAATATATATTTGACCTGGTGAAACATTTTGAAAGCAATCTACCAGAGTTACGGAAGCATTTCTATTTCACAGTTACCTGCCCGGAGTTAACCGTTGAAAAGGGGATAAGAGTCGAACTGAAACGAATCGGCGCAGAAGGCCACAACGACGTAGTTCAGCCTACCCATGGAACTTTGGCCATATTTCATTGTCCACCGTTATTTCATATTACTGGAACACCGTATTCCGTATGTCAAGTCGGAAACTGGACCCCACCGGTTAAGGCAACATGCACTGAAACCACACACTTAGTGATACCAACTGAATGGCTGTTTCGACGTCCATGACTTGTGTAAAGCGCCAGTTGTGTACTGTCCTGCCTTTTGATCACCTCACTAAGAGCTGGACCCTTTTGATGCTGTCATATATATTTTAATCCAGTGGAGATATTTATCCATTCGATTGTCTGATGGAAAACTTGCTAGATCCACTTATGTTTTGCAAGAGATATTATTTGAAATGCATTTTTCCTGTACGCTGTTCTTCCGATTGGAAAGTATGGTTTTTGTCGCAGCAGATTATCTCATTGTGTGTTCCAAAGATATGTGCATTGCGAGGCATTTATATGGCGTGCAGTATTTTGTCTCCGCATGAGAGCTTGAACACCACCAGTGGAGTGGCAACTCATCGGCGTGGCACTTGTCCTGTGAATTCCAACAGATGTGGGCATAAGTAAGCAAATGCGCGAACACTTGGTTGACACTGTACACCAAGTCCCGATAAACCAATCGTTTCGAGTCGTTTATACTGTCCCTAAACGATACACAAAACAGCTGAAGAAAGGTTTATTGAGCATTTCTGAAGCCATTACTATCAAAGTTCTAAAACCAGAGCTGTGCAAACAGCGCACACTGCTACAGCCTTTGAAATTGCCTTGGCCTTGAACTTGACCTTCCTTGATCACCTGCTTCCTAATGCGACAATCCGATTGATCAAATCATTGATTTAGTTTTCATATTGCCCAGTTAATGAGTTGATTGCTCTCTGTACAGGCCTCTACGGGCTTTATTCTCCCCAAAAGTTTTGCTTCATAAAAGTACACGCCTGATGAGAATTATCGAAAAGAATATTCTTCGCGCATTTACTTACTTCTGACTCAAATGGGGATTATCTATGAATTGAAAAAAGATGTAGTCACGTTACACAACTGAACCCGCCCATACAAACAATTGGTTGAGAAACTCGCTGTTGTAATATCCTCATTTGGCATGATGCTAGTTTAACCGACCCAGAAGAAAAGTTCCACCAAGTCGTTTCAATAAATACTTATCTCTTGTATGAGATTTGTTGAGTAAACGTTGCATATGTGAACTGTTGCATATTTGTGGCTGCATTACTAGTGTTTCACGGGTTTCACGGGTTTGCGCAGAACGAGTAAGCGTAGCTTTTCGGTGGTTCTGCCTCGGGATCTTACGGCAAGGTCCTGATCTAGTCGGCAGGTACCAGATGTTGTGGGTCTCGACGCAGTAGTGGTGTTAAGCACAAGTATTCAGCGAGTTGACTGTGGGCGGTGAGCTTGTGCAACTAACGCGGCTAATATGATTAGATAGTGCGATAAACCTGGGGCCTCATATATGCACCATGCACTTGCGAAACTTTTAAGGCATCGAACATTCCGAACGCTCTAGGAAGAGGCCGAAGCCTTGCTTTGCTTTCTTCGAAGCATTTTCGGTTTGCCTCTGACAGCCAAGGTCATCTTACACGAGCAAACTAAGATCACATTCACGAGAAGCGCACTGTAAATATTGTGGTCCTGGACATTAAAATTAAGTGTTCGATGGTGTACGCCCAAAAATTTCACTCGGCCGCCTTGAACTGGAGTGCATTCTCGTGGGGCCTTTTTAAGCTTGATCAACCTCACTTTGCATAACAGTCTGATCCTTCATTGCAGTGACAACACGCAAAATATTTAGATAATCAGAAAATAATAGAACATTTGTAGCTAGCACGTTCGCAACGTCATTTATGAAGACAAGGAATAGGCGGTGCCTAAGAGACGAGTCATTTGGTACACCGCAATGGATTTCAATTGGGTTGGATAGGTGTCTGAATGATAACGTTGCCTACCCAACCAAGAACGAAGTCACCTAGTCAATAAGTTTCAAGGTTGTAAAGTAAAATGGGATCATTCAGACGGTCAAGTGTCTTGGAGGAATGCAGATAGGCAGCATCCAGCCCTACTACAGCATACACAGACTCGGTCCAGCAAGCAAGGATTAGCAATAAGTTCGTGGCCCATTACCGAATACGATGAAATCCGTTTTGTACCGAAGCGACAATTTGAGTACTGTCCACTTACCCATAAGTGCCTTAGCTAAAATAGACTTCATGAACTTGGGAATCATCAGAAGTAGTGCAATTGGGCGACAATTAACCGGTTCGGCTCAGCTGCCGCTTTTTTCGATAGGCGATGGAGCCGTCTTTCTTCCTTGAGGGACCCTGCATCTGATCAAGGATAGTTGAAAGAATCCAGTTAACTGTTCAGTTAAACTTAGTACAGGCACTTTCAACACTTTCGCCGAATGTCGCCATCCATATTAGTGCAAGCACAGCATGGCTTTAGTACTCCTGTGAAGATAACGAAGTGGATACGACCTGCTGATTCTATGATCTGCGTAAGAAGGATGTAAAACCCGTGTACACTCGGGAATATGCAGCTAAATTGTTGTCCAAGAAATTAGGCCGCCTCTTGGGCCGTTTGCGATAAACCAGGATTTTGGCTGTTTATTCTATGGTGTTTGTTCACGTATCGATAAAGTTGCTTGAAGTTACAGCATGAACTAACCACAACATCCTGCTGGCACTTCATTTTTTCTTTCCTGAAGAGTTTGCTGCAGTAGTTAGTCTGTGTTGCATAAACATCCCAGGTATCCGCACTCGGAGAAGCTATGGGGGCATGCCTTGCTGGGTCTCTTAAATCCATGCAATTGCGAGTCCTGATTCTTAAGAAAGTCTTCGTGTTTTTTGAACTGTGAATGTTACTTGCTGATTCGCTTGACACTAGCCTGTTGGATGGGTTGACAAATCTTTTCAGGCTAACTCCAGAAGACTGTTCGGCTAGAAAGCACCTTCTAGTTGTGCTCCTTTTGTCAGACAGATCATAAGCTGATGTATTATCATATTTGGTTACGACGTGAGATTCTTCGGTTATATCCTTGAGATATTCTGCTCAGCTCACGTAATGGAACGATAGTGTCGCATGATCACTGCGGTCTCCAGGAGAGCACCTCGTTGCTATGTCGATCATGGGTTCTCGTTGGTAAAAACAAGGTCCATGATGGCTGGTTATTTTCTGATATGAAAAGCCTTGTAGTTGGGACATGTTTGTACAGCGGTCAAACAGCTATTAGCTTCTGCTATTCAGCCTTGTATATTTCAACGAGTGTCTGGGTACTCTAAGCATTGCAGGTTGAAGCCTTCTGTGAGAAGAAAGTGGCTGTAAGCTTGCTCTAGTGAATTCTTCATACCACAGGACAGAACCTAGTCCATTTCCAAACTGCGCAGTGGTGGGTGGTATACAATGGCTAAGAGACATGTACCGCCTAACCCTAGTTGCAGGTAGCATGGTAACGAGTCAACGGCTTAAGTCCATGGTTTGTTAACGCAATCAACATGTAGGTCGAAAAGTGGTTAAATAATTATACGGCTTCCAATAGTGGGTAGTTCCTTTCGCAACAGTGACTTGCTGGGTAGTGAGGCCTCAGCCTCGGTCAGCATGTCGCTCAATCTTGTCTCCGTTATCATGATGTGGCCCAAGATATTGAGACTTGACGAAATCGAAACGCGGCCATTTTGATAAAATGTCCTATTGTGTTTGCATACAAACTTTTGATAGCCACTGACTTCAGCAGCATAGCTGAAAGCACAAGCGTTTCCAGGGGATTTACGCTAACCCTTGTGAAGACGACTGACAATCATTCATTGGATGCATGCCTAACCTATTGTTCGTGCCTATTCAAACTTCTGCACAGAGCACGCGCTATTTAAGCCACTGGATGCCACTTGTAACAGTCTCTGATTCTTCTTCGGATAGTTACGAAGTTGCAATGCGTTTTATTTCACAAATGCAGACCCCTAGGCTCGCGACGAAGCCTCTCTTATTTGTGTGCTTAACAAATAACGGTGTGGCGTCGAATTCCCATATACCTAGCGCTTATGGCAGCTTGCACCTAACTTCTGCCAACTGCCCAGCACCATATCTACCATTTGCTCGCCATGAACTATAACTGACATCACCATCGGAGCATCTCCATTATAGCTGGGTGATAAATGTAGCATTGATGTCGCGTTGACTTTCACCGCCTTAAGAGCGGATGCATAACGTCTGTTGCGTCACCTTTCTATGTCATGAGTTTCGGTTAAAAATCAGTCAGAAGTGCGAATTTCTGAAACACCATGGACAAATATTTGTCCTCTGTCGCTTCGTATGCGGTATTCTTCTGGCTCTTGTTTCTTTCGGAATGCACAATCTATTTCAGGAAAAACAAGGAAGCTTAAAAGAGAACGGCTTTCACTTCTTCACCCGAAGAAATGGTTAACTGAAGTCAACTTTTTTCGACAGACTGAATTTAATTTTGTTGGCGGCCAGTGCAAGATAAATTCGCTTGTTTAGCCTGGATTCACATTGCTTGATATATGCAGTCCCATTGCTTCAAGTCGTCCAAAAGTTGGTCTTTAACTGTTATTTGCCTTTGACTCAAGCATTTAGAGCACTTTATCTTCGGCAACTTTTAGTTTCTCCTAGTTTTATGGTTTTGGGACGGTGTGTGCTTTCTTTATTTGTCGCTGTGTTAGGCTGACTCAGAATTGCATCGGCATATGTGACAGCAATAAAGATATTGGAGGTAGTTGCAGACGTGACCGTTAAGTTTGCTTTCTGTCTGCATGTAGCGACAACGAATGCGTGTGTTGTCATGCTTGCAGCAACAGTGGGTAAATCGAGATGCACGGGTGTGGTGTGTGCTACAGACACCCTGGGAGAACCTACTCTAGCCAGGTTTGGAGTCAACGAGCTTGGCTAAACCTGACTACCCAGTTGGTTTTTATTTCGTATTGTATTGGTACTTGCGCGTACGCTGTGAACTATACGCTTCTTGTAACCAATCTGTATCAAAGCGAGATAAACTTTGGGCAACGTGGCTGTAGTTATGCTGTAGCGGAATCCGTTGCGGTCGACTCACCGTCCGTAACACGCTTCACAATAAAGAAATATATATGGGTTTGTGCTCTAAGGAACCAGATACACCATATCATGGCATGATCAGCAGCATGTCACAATAATGTGCCA